TGACACTTGATGTCTTTTAAATGTTCTATACAAAGAAATCTGTCTTGACTTGACTACAGTGTGTTTAGTGACATCTTTGATTCCACTAATGGAGTTTCAGTTTGTTCCACGACTGCATTTCACTCACTGCCTCTGTTTGTATCTCTGTCACTGCAGGACCAACATGGAGCGAGAAGTCAGCGCTCTCAGGAGGCCGACAAACCTCACAGAAGAAAGGGAGAGAAAAAATACAGCTGTGATGAGTGTGGGAAGGGGTTTACCCGTCCTAGAGGCCTAAAAACACACCAATCCATCCACAGTGGAGTTAAATCTTACAGCTGTGAGTTGTGTGAAAAATCTTATACCCAGGCTGGACACTTAAAAACACACCAAATCATCCACAGTGGTGTTAAAGCGTACAGCTGTGATGAGTGTGGGAAAGATTTTTCTCGAAAGGGTTCACTAAAAACACATCAGCTTAGACACATTGGGGAGAGACCATTCAGCTGTGACTTGTGTGGAAAATCTTTTATCCTTGCTGAGTATTTGACAAAACATCGACGCATCCACACTGGGGAGAGACCATACAACTGTGACTTGTGTGGAAAGACTTTTACCCAGGCTGGAAACCTAAAAAGACACCAGTTAATCCACAGTGGAGTTAAACCGTACACCTGTGATCAGTGTGGTAAAGATTTTCCTTACAGTAGCTATTTACGGCTTCATCAAGTTACCCACTCTGGAATTAAGGCGTACGGTTGTGGAATTTGTGGAAGACACTTCAGCGGCAAACAGAGCCGAAATAAACACCTACGCATTCACACCAAAAATGACGTGTGCTACTGTGATCAGTGTGGCAAACTGTTTATGACATACAACAGCTTAAAACAACACATGTTTACACACGCTGAGGAGAAACTTTATAAATGTGACCTGTGTGATAAGGCTTTTAAATCTCCACGATCCCTCAGAGTCCACCAACAGCTCCACACCAGAAAGAAACTCTACAAGTGCAGTTACTGTGAGGTATGTATTTATATTTTTATCTTTTTATTTTACCCTGGACTGTTTGGATTTATCACACTTGAATTTCAGTTAAGAGGTTTGCTTCCATGATCCTTAAAAAAACACTGAATAACTAATTCTCTGTAGACACAGTATCCACTTTGTACCATATACAGGCCCATGTTACATTTGCCATTTCTGCTGGAATTTGGCAAGTAAAGAACATAAGTCATCTATCTTAAAAACAATGATCACTGTTACTTTGTATCCATATTCGAATTTAGAGTTGCAATTCATATGAAGTATTTTTTTAAACTAATTTTAATATCAAAGCTCAATGTGACATAAAAACTTTTATAGAATATTCAGTCAAATCTGACAGAAATCTCCGCAAGATTCCCTTACATTGCACAAAAGAGTAGGACTTTAAATGCCTCTCCCCTTTCTATCGAAGATTCAAACCACCATACTTCCCATAAGTAGGTGACCGGCTCTACCTCCTCAGTTACAGCCACCCCAGAAATTAGGGCTGGGCGATATGGCCTTAAATCCATATCGCAGTATAATTTAAAGCACGTGCGGTACCAGTATATATCACGATATATTATTTTCTTCTGTATAACATGTTTTCCACACTATAAGGCACACTTAAAATCCTTTAATTTTCTCAAAAATCGAGAGTGTGCCTTATGTATGAATTCTGGTTGTGCTTACTGACCTCGAACCGAGTTTGGCTACAGAAATCTGTTAAAAAATGTTTTGGTACAACTTTGGTAAGCCGCACTGCTTGATGGATTGTCAGAGCATTACGGCTGCCGTAGTGAGGAGCTTCGCGGAGTAATCTGGGTCCAAAACTCCGTCCACTTCAGGTCCCAAAGTCAAACGAACACTAAGAGTTAAAAACGGTCTAAATTCTTTCATCTTTAATTAAATCCTCAGCGTTGCT